AGTAGTAGAAGTAGTAATAGTAGTAGTAGTAGTAGTAGAAGTAGTAATAGTAGTAGTAGTAGTAGTAGTAATGGTGGTAGTAGTAGTAGTAGTAGCAGCAGCAGTAGCAGCAGTAGCAGTAGCTGTAGCAGTACTAGCAGTAGTGGCGGTGGCGGTGGCGGTGGCGGTGGCGGTGGCGGCGGCGGCGGCGGCGGTGGTGGTGGTGGTGGTGGTAGGAGCAGCAGCAGTAGCGTGGCACAAGAGGTCATGGTACTACTGACTGGTAGTTTCTCACCACAGTTATGGAAGCAATTTGGTTGTTGCAGCTACTTTTGTAGAAATTGCAGTGGTCGTCGCTGTCGTAGCAGCGACAGCACCAGCAGCAAACGTGCCGCCCAACTTAAGAGATTCAATACAAAGCCATACGACACATCAGCAAGGGTTTTGATCAGATTTTTCGGTTGCATCGCACACGCTCCCAAGGACAATTATGCCAGCTTCACAATCAAGGGCAGCGACAACGTTGACGAGGATGTTGAGCGTTTCAAGGAGCTTCGAGAGGTGCTTGGACCGGACTTCCCCTTGGAGGTTGGAACATGCGTTATTTTGGTTCTATTGGGTGATATTGGATTATATAGGGTTATATGAGTCATAATCTAAACTCCTTAAAGGGGGTTATATAGGGGATTATATGTGGGACTACTGTTAGGGGTTATTAAGGGGGCTACTAGGAGTTTAGACTACAGGTCATATATGGATAATGGAAAAGAACATGGAAACAAAAGGATTTATCTGGATTATAACCCCTACATAACCTCTATGTCGTGCTTTCCATTTCCTTTTCCATTATCCCAATGTAACCCCTATTCCCCTTGGAGGTTGACCCTAATCAAGCGTACACCGCTGACGAAGCTTGGCTCGGCAACTCTAACAGTGTTCTACTGTCCGTTGTGCTTTGCTACTGCTACTCTATGGGGAGTGTAGGTTGGGTACTGCCCCCGCTCATTAACAGTTGGATAGATATTAATAAGATAACTGTATGGTAGTTTCCAAAAAATGGGGGAACCCCAATATAGACCCAAAATTATTATAGTCTGTATTATGGGGACCCCCAAAAAGGTACCTCTAATTTTGGGAAATCCCAA